TTTGTGAAATTAACCTTTTAAAAATATAGTAGGGAAAATAATTAGAAAAATGTCACCTAGCACTGTGATTTCTACTGCTGACAGCATATTGCCTCAAACATATGTTGCTCACACTGTAGACTCTGAGCAGCTGATGACCTCCTTCCTTCACATGCCATGAACAGATATCTAAGAAGCCAGGTGTTTTATTTCATAGCCTAATCTGATGGTTGGCATCAGATCCTAGCAGATAACTTTTCTTGTGCTTTCTATTAAGACATTTGTTTCATGAAGTATTCAGATCTTTTGACCTTCTCAATTATCAATGACTGAAAAAAGCCAATGCAGTTCTGATAGACTTCCATCTCCTTCTGGTCACTCATTTCTCTATAGATAGTTGTCAGCTGCTGGTTGTAACCTATTCAAATTGGCAGGGGCTAGATCAAGCAGTGTAGAGTTTCTGTGGACTGTATTGAACATTGAGCAAATTAACATGAAAGAGTGGGGGGAAGCCTTAGGCTTGGGAATGGGAGTAGTCGATATTGGCTTAATATTGAGCCATATCTTAACAGGGAGGTGGCACTGAGAATTAAAATAGATTAATGAAGATACTTGAATTAAGTGGAGACAAACAGTTACATGACCTCAGACATTGTAGAGAGTGTGTTGTAGGTCTGTGAGGTTTTCTATTAGGACTTAAAAATAACCTAAGTAACATCTAATGGGAGGACCTGTGTGCATGCCAGTGAAGAGTGCAGCATTTGGAGGAGGGAAGCAAGAGGAGATGGGTAAAGTCAAAAGAAAGAGGAAAAGGAAGAATTTGTAGACAGCACAAAGGATTGAGGTTATATTTGAAGTAGGAAGAAAACATCTGTAAACATCCTACTAATTCATTGTTTCTTCAACTTCAAAACATACAAAAAAGGAGGAAGAAGGTGTATATGTAGTTGAAAGAAAAAAGAATTGTACATCTCTGACTACGTACGTGCATTTGTACTGCTTGGTCAGAAGCTAAACAACTGAAGGGATGTAAGGCAGACTTAATTTTGGACTTACTCCAGGCACATTCATTCGAAGGTGTGGAGCGAGTTCTGATCAATAGCAAAGGACTCTTACATGGTCTCTGAGGATTGGAGTGAATTTTATTGACTGACAGCTACGTTTAGGCACTGGCAAAAAGTGGATGTGCAGTACACTTGTAGAATGGTCAGTTTTCAGCTAGAGGTAGGTATCTGCAGATGGTGGGATATTTATGTGATGAAATGCTTGTCCAGTAGCAGAATCCCTTGTCTCACCTGGGTAAAAAACATCTGCCACCTTTTTTTTTTTTTTTTTTTATGCATACCTCCTGTTCCCAAACCATACAAATGTTTCATTAAGATAATACTGATCCATATTCATTTTGGTTTAACTGGTGAATTGTATAAACTAAAGACAGAATTGAATATATTCAGCTTTTTTTTGAGTGTACAAAATTTAATTAATACTCATCTTGAAAGGGTAAGTGGCCATTGGCATTAAGTAAAATGATGACGTGAGCCATTCTAAAGTTATACCAAGATACTGGAAAATAGAGCTTACACTGATGCTCTAATAAACTGTAGTCCTGTAAATGGCCTGTGTTCTTTTCTTCCCATAAACTGATCAGTATTCTCTGATTTCAAATCACTGGCTTCTCCTAATGCTTGTGATTTGTCCCGTATAGTCCTCATGTGGTAAAGGTGGAAAGTGAGCCAGAAAGCATACAGCACCAGAAAGCAGCTTCTTTGGACAAATATTGGTGACTGTTCTGATGTGAGCTGTGCTGCAAGAGCTGTTTAGTATTTTGGTGTTCGATCCTTCCTTCCTTAGTTTTTCAATTTAATGTTTTAGTTCTATTGTAGACCTACAATCGAAGGTGTCAAGAGTATTGTGTGTTTGACAATGCCTGCTTATCTGCTGGGGCCACTAAGTCTGACAGTCTGTAACAAAACAAGAGGTGAAAGGGATGAGATGAAAACTGACTAGGCTTCTCATTAAGACTTGCTGTGGTATAATGCTTCTTGGTGTTTGCTTTTAGGAGTCTCTGGAGGTAGTGAAGACAACTGGGAAAGGGTGTTTCTTCTTCATTATCTTTTGTCAAACTGAGGTTATAACCAGTATTTTACAGAGCTGTTTAGTGAACTCCTTTATGTGCTGTTTGGCTGGCAAGTCAACTCTTGCTATCTTGATGACAAAAACTGCGATGACCATTCTGAACTGTGCATGGGATTCTGAACAGTGCATACATCTCTGTATGGCAACAAGTGGTAAAACAGGCTGGGGCCCCTGGATGCTGCTGTGGTACAAATACACATTACTTGTGTACTTTGAAAAGGAGTGAAGATGTTTTACTCCTCAAGATCAAAGCTGTTAAATGTGCAAGGTGAATTTTACCACTACGGTCCCTCGGGTTTGACTGTTCTGTAATGGCATATAACTGAAACTCTTAACAGGCTTATTTTTCTGAAAGCTTGGAGTACTTATGGTGGCTTTTTTGGATGGATTTGCAAGAGCTGTTCGTTATTGAAAGAAGGAAACTGGGAGAAACATCTAGCAGGCTTAATGTTCTGTAACATTTTGGTAACAAAACAAAGTAATTCTTGGTGTAGCAAATTGAAGTGTCAGTGCTTACAATTTTAAGCACTGAAGATTTTAAGAAGTTTAGGAGCTGTTTTTCCATGGACTTAAGTGTGTAAAGCTGGCTGGCTTCTCATTTGAGCTCTGGAAAAGTTGGCCAGGTCGCTGCAGTGCCACGTTGGAAACAAACACCTGATGTGGCTTGAAATTCAGGGTTTGCTTCTGTGGTCAAGGAGACCCGTAAGTGAATTGCAGCTCCGAAGAGTGTCCTTAGAGCACATCTCTTGATACCAAGAACTTTAAATCTCAACCAGTATTGTCAGGGACAAATTTTTTTTTTTTTTTTTTTACCTCTAAGGCTTCAGTAGGCTTGATTTTTGGGAAAGCCGGGAGCAAACCTCATTAACAGTAATCTCAATACTCTGGCCTTGTGACCGGGGGTGGGGGGTGGAGGGGGAAGGGAAGCCCCCAAAAATGTGGAGAAGTAGGGGATTACATTTTAAATGATGAGGGTTGTTGCAGTAAAACAGATGTCACCTATTTATATGTGCTGAGTTAGAATGCTAATTGTGGAATAGTCAGGCAAATAAAATGCAGGGCTGCTATCAGAATTACACTTTAAATTTGTTTACCAAAAAAAGGGGGGTTTAATGTTCTTTCTTTTCCTGGATTCCTTCCATTAATTTCTTACAGTTATCAAAGAGAAGGGTGAATTTTCCATGCAGTTTTAGTCTGCTTCCATTTATGTTCCCCTCTCTCCCTCTGAGCAGACATCCGTCTTTCCAGTTTTCCTTTTTTTGGTTGTTTCTCTGTTTTCTCTTCAAATGTGTAAATCTACATCTCACCTTCTCGTGAATATTTTAGGGAAGGGCTGTACCTGCTGTGTATTGTTTGGCAAGTAATTGGCACCCTTTGCAGTAATGTGCTTTATTTATTTTCAATTTGTTCATTTGCTTCATGGAGCAGTTGGATGCATAAAAGTAAACAATTTGTAAGCACCTAAAAGATAACATAAGAGATGAGTAACAGTTAATGTGGATCATGCCAAGCCAGTCTATTTTTCTTCGGGATCTTACAGGTACAGAAGTAGTAGTAGTAGTAGATGTGTGTATCTTGACTCTGAAGTTTTCAAACTAATTTTTTCATGAGAAGCCCAGGAAAACAATGGACTACTGGAAATCCCCCGAGAGGCATGCAAAATGGTTTGGTTATTTTGTTTGAGCATAATAAGAGGTTCAAGTTAAAATTAGGATGAGATATTTAATAGGTTTTTGCACAGTCTTTAAGCAGTCTCACAGGATTCCCTGGTTTTCACAAATATGTTAGGTAAACTTTATGTAGCATCATGAAATGGATCTCCTTCTGGTGGTGAATGTGTGCTTGCTTGAAGGATGTGACAAGCTGACAAAAGAGCATTAAGTAACCTTGGATGCAGTTCAGTTGGACAAATGCAGAATATTAGGCTTTGATAAGAGTAATCAGGTGTGTAAGTGGAAAGTGGATGAGGATTGGACAGGCAGCAGCTCTGCAGAGGAGAATTTGATACACAAACTGACCATGAGTCAACTGAGTTCCAGCATTGCACAAGCTGCAAACATTGTGCTGGGCTGTACAAACAAGTGTGTTGTAAGTCGGACACAAGAAGTCACCAGCACGCTGGGTAGAGCTGAGGTAAGCTTCTTCTGCGGGGTCTAGTTTTGGGTACCGTACCTAAAAGACTTTTAGCAGTGAAGGGAGAGGTCCCCCAAAAAGCAATAACTTCTCCATCATGGTAACTTTCTTTGCAACAGCCCCTCACATATTTGAAGGGTGTGGTGAGGGAAAAAGGGCAGGGGGGAGATGTGCCATTTTCCATGCCTTCTGGAAGTGGAACAAGGAGCGATTCGGTTAAACTGTACTAAAGACGATTAAGCTACCTGTTAGAAAAATCTTTCTAAATGTGAAAGACTGGAAGAGGCTCCCTGGGGAAGCTGTGGAAGGAAACTTTCTTAACGTGCAGATGTGATGGGCATTTCTTGAGTGCAGTTACTGTAGAGTTGCAGAGTGATTGCTGTGGATCAGCAGATTTCTTCTGGTTTTTCTTGCAGCCTTATTTGATTCTGTAACCTAAGCCACTGTAATTGAAGGGGCAATAAATGCCCAGTGTGGGCTTGCAAAATACCTGAAACTTTGGTTCTATTACAAACAAAATCAGACTTTGAACAACGGGAAGCACCGTTGGCAATAACAGTGCTGCTAAGACTAGGTAATAGCGGCTTTGTCTTTTGACGGGGAAAGTGGCTGCTTTATTGTAAGTACATGTGTGGTTGGACTGCTGAAACCCACAGCTGCTGCATCTGCACCAAAACACCTTCACCGTGATCTTGCATCCTGACAGCACATCCCTATCTGCGTTCTGGTTCATGTCAAGACACGAGCTAAGCATGTCCCGTTGTCGTCGTCCTCCTTCCTCTCCCTGCCCCAGTAAGTGCCTCCCTTCCTTGCAAGGAAGTCTGAGCACAGAAGGGAGGAATGGGACTGTGCCGTAAGGTGCAGCCTAGGTTTTACTTCATGTGCACACAGCCAGCTTTGACAAAGGCTTTGCTTCCTAATGCATGCAAGCTGAAGCTTTACATGTAGGTGGGTCAGTAACAGACTTTGTCAGTGCTTCTGGTATAGACATATGCCTATAAAGGATAGAGTGCTGCTTTGCGGGCTATACTGACAGTTTGGTTTCTTCAATTCCAGAAAAATATGGGGAAATGCATCATTTTGGTAATAGAAACAACACTGTGTTTAATACCACTTATGTTAATCAGATATAGAAATAAGTGCTTGTCTTGGTCATGCGTTACATTTTATTGCTGAGCTGTTTGTTCCTGGAAAGGGAATATTTTTGTTAGCAATAATCTAAAAGAAAAATTGTCACCACTTAATGTATTTCAGTAAAAAATATGCTTGGTGTTTTCTTTGCGTGTTGTCAGGGGTTTTTTATTTTTCTCTGTAATACTGAAAAACATACGCTGTTTTAAATCTTTGCTTTACAGTGTTGTTGGTCATCTTGTTTACACATGTATTTTGATTATTTGTGTACCTCTTGCTTCCCAGGAGACAAAGATGGCAGCAAAGTGACTACAGTAGTGGCAACTCCTGGACAAGGTCCGGACCGACCACAAGAAGTTAGCTACACAGACACCAAGGTGATTGGAAATGGATCTTTTGGTGTTGTGTATCAAGCCAAACTCTGTGATTCAGGAGAGCTTGTGGCCATTAAGAAAGTCCTGCAGGATAAAAGATTTAAGGTGAGCCTATGCATAAGTTCAGAATATTTTTCATGAATGTTATCTCATTTTCCTTGTGTTTGATGGTAATGTTTTTGGTTTTTTTTTTATTTCATTGGAGCACATAAATGCACATTAAAATTTCCAAGACCGAAGATTAAACAGATGGTTTATGATAAAGGCATATAGTTTAACTTGAAAATCAGTGAGTCACTGTTTTTATGATTAGTGCAAAACAGGAAGCTAAAAATCCTGATTTGATGTTGTGGTGCTGTTTCCAGGTCAACGACTAGATTTTTTTTCAGACAATGAACTGAGGAAACAAGGGAAAAGCTTGTCTTAAGCTTACTTTTTTCTTGCGTAGACTCTTCTCCGGTCATTAGTAATTAAGCTGCTGGAAGGAACAGAAGCCTTTGGACTTTTTTTCTTGTTGTTGCACCTACAAAGTGGAAGGCTGTATTTGAGTAATTTGGTAAGTCCCGAGGCCAAGCAAAAAAAGAAATAATAAGCCCAGGGCAGTTTGAACTGAAGGCGAGTTACTTCCCTTCATTATCTGATTTCTAAATGTGATCTATTCTGGTGGTTTTAATAGACTAGTGATTCTCTATTCTAGACAAGTAGCTTTCCAAAAAGCTATATTTTTATCTGGTGATATTTAAACCAAATAAAAGTTAAGGACCATCAGCAACCTCATCACTGCTGTTAGTCCTCAGCTTGGTACTTGGTGTGCTTGACTGCTTTCCCTTAATAGTCACGTGGCCTGCAACTAAACTCGTGCAAGTAGTAAATAATAGCAAAAGCAGTGGTTTTAGCATCTGAAGTCAGTGGTGTGGGTTTTAGCATTTGAAGGCTACAGTTTTCATGACTATAGAAGCATAAGGACAATACATAGAGAACATGCCATGGATAATCTTGTTGGCATGGTCTAGATAGAAAAACGTCTGAGCTTAAAAATAGGAAGTTGAGGCATGTTTAAGGAAAATTAGCAGTTTGAAACTTCTTGTTAATAATTTGACACTTAACGTTAGTTTTAGAAATACTTCTAAAGGCTATTGGATGACATTATCATCTCAGTCTTCTCATTTTTCTAGTAAGACTTCATGCACAGCTAGCTTCACTGGTAATCTTTGTAATTTGTGTCCTGTTTGGTAGCAAAGTCATTCTTTTGAAGTGTTCTGAAGAAGTTGGTGTATGGCTTTTCCTTGAGTCTTGAAATCGATGCCGTCATCACCGCAGGCATCAGCATATCACAGGTGCGTTAGATGAAGAATGGAAAAGGAAAGATGTGTTTAAATTAATGTAATCATGCAGCATTGTTTAACTTCTAATTGAGAAAGGCTTGTAAAGGTCTTACATTGTTTTTGCATCTGAGTTATTTCTGGTCTGTATTATTTGTTGAAAGCAATTAGTACTAGGGAAGCATACAATATGATGTAAGAGTGGATTATTTTAGAAGAGCAGAAGAGGTAGAGGAATAATAGAAGCTCTAAACCTAGTCATGCTTAAAAGAGCTTTTCCTATTGAATGTTTTTAGGGGGAAGGCCAGGACTTTTCTCTTACAATATCATGCTTGGTGGATGTCAACTAGCGCTTTAGACCAAAATCTTTGATTTATTTAGTCTCATGACTTTGAGGTTGTGTAGGGTGTCAGAATGAAAACTTGGCTGAGTATTTTAGTTCCTGCCCATCAGATACTAATAGTTTGTGACGTCTTAACTTTTTTTTAATATAAATCTGTATTGGGCATCTAGAACAAAATGTAGGTCTTTGATTGTTTTCCTTTCAGTAGTTGATTCTGTGGCATTTTGTTATCTGCCTGTATATCTTTTTATTTCAGAGTATTTCTTTTAAGTGATTAGAAAAAACCATTAAATCTTTTGCATATTACCCCTCTTTTTTGTTTAAGAAAAAAACCAACCAAACAAAAAATCAAACCAACAAAAAGCTAAGTCGGCTGTTTCCAGTTTGGACTCTGAACTAATGCTCTCTACAACTACCTGAAAGGAGGTTGTAGCTACAGGGTTGTTGGTTTCTTCTCCCAAGTAATAAGCACTAGGACAAGAGGAAGCGGCCTCAAGTTGTGCCAGGGGAGGTTTAGATTGGATGTTAGGAAACATTTCTTCACTGTAAGGGTTATCAATCATTGGAACAGGCTGCCCGGGGAAGTGGTTGAGTCACCATCCCTGGAGGTATTTAAAAGATGTGTAGATGTGGCACTAAATGACATGGTTTAGTGATTGACTCGGCAGCATTAGGTTAACGGTTGGACTTGATGATCTTAAGTGTCTTTTCCAACCTAAATAATTCTATGATTGTCTATGTATGATGGCATAAGCTGAGAACATCCAGTACCTGGAGGTTTTCATATCCCTAAACTAGGTGGAATTAATGGTAAGTGCATGTGTAGATTTACAGATAGATAACATTAATTTAAAAATATTTTTTAAGTTAATAATTTGCATGAGTCACGCCTGCAGTAGTACCCAAATTATGCTTTTTTTTTTAATGTTCTTATCCCAAGCTTGTATCCCAACTGCACTAGGTCATCTACCTTTGGTCTCAGCTCCCCAGTTTTTCCCATCATTCATCAGTCTAGTCCTCCCTTTCTTTTCACATTCTGATCTGGAAGCGTATGTTCTGTTGGCAGGCGGTGTAAATTCCTGCAGGCTGGATGAAAGCCTTTGCTTGGACGGATTTGGAAGCTAGAGACATGTATCTTATATCAAGAATAGCATACAATTACTTCAGGGTATGCTACTCTTTGGGAACATCTGATCTAGGTTGTAAATGCTGGACCAGATACTTTACCAGTGAAACAGAGAACTTTGCTGTACAGTTTGATTGCAGCATAGGAGCGGACCACGTCTTCTGTTCAGAGACCTGAGCTGTGATGTGCAGCTCAGTTGGGCTGTTGCCACCCCTGTACAGCTGTCTGAGTCCAGATCCAAGCCCTGGTGAGTGGAGTTCCTTAAGGAATCTGCTGCTACTTCTCTCTCATTAATGTATACCCCTGCTTTGGCAATGATGAGGAAAACCATATTGTAGACAGCCAAAGGTGGCAGTAGCTTGTTTAATTTAAATCAACTTTATCAACTTCTGAGGGAAGAGAGGGAGCACTTTAGAAATGCCTGTCTGCACTAGTCCCAGTGGTGGAGAAGCAACAAGAGAAAAGTAATGCATGGAAGTCGCTTCCTGAAGTGTAGATCCTCAATGAAATTTTCAGCTGTATGCTTCAAGCTGGTGCCTGCTTATCTCTAGATCCTGATGGATTTATCTTGGTACACGCAGTATAATGCCTTTGTGTGATTTAGCTCTTTAAAAAAAAAAAAAGCTTTTAGAAAAGCCAGCAGGAAGTCTTGAAACTTAAAGGGCATGATTGAGAAACTTTAGGAAGTCCCAAGAGAGTGTAACTTCTAGGCTCCTTCTGCATTTTGTGAATGTGGAGGGAGTTTATTGTGAAGATGTGGAAAATGCACCACAGTTGCCAATTTTTAGATCTCTGTCAGGAAGTTGAGATACTTTTATCCAGGTTTAAAGCTAGCTTGAAAGCTGGAATTAACAGAGGAGGGGTTGTCTTTTTCCTTTTTTCCTTTTCCATTTCTATGACAAGTTTCTCAGCAGCCTCCACTGAAGTGGAAGCAGCATTGGTCTATGCCAGAATGAAGTGATTGTAAGATCTTTATAAAGAATTGAATATTACAGTTTCTGTGATGGTAAAGATAGTTTGCAATGCTTCTGCTTCTTTCTCCTCCCTTGTTGCATTTTAGTGGTTCTTCAGGTTGGTAGTGCAGTTCCTGCATGGCTGTGTTTTAAGCAGAGTCTCTGAAGTGCTCTGGGTTTTAAATTGAGTATGTCTAGAGTTCAGTGTAACCTAGAGCAATAGTATTGGTACACTATTGGGATGGTATTGGGCGCTATTGTCTCTATTGGGATAGAGACAAATGGCTGAGGGGAATAAATAAAATAAGATACAGAGATTTATGCTTAATTTTGGTTTGCAGTTATTCTGCCTTCATTAAGCTAGATCTCCATACTGGGTGTGAGGAACTTAAGTAATGTGATTTTGGACAGTTACGTGATACTTGAGTAGTTCAAGAACTACATGCTGTTTATTATTCATCTGTGGGACCATTGAATTTATCTCTAGTTGGCATGGAGGGGCATTTTTTCTTTGGGTTTTTCTTTCAGTTAAAAGTGTGACATGGGTAAGAGAGATGTTTGTCTCTGAAAAATGGTGTAATGCATTCACAAGCTTTTTGGACCCAAAATTGATTCAAATGGCAAAATTTCCTAAAGACTATGTCCCAGCTTTCGTAGATCTATACTGTATTTCTTTGTCTGTCCCACAGATGCCTAACAACAGGTCCTCAAGCAAAACATTGATACAGATAACTGCAGTTAAATGATTTATCATATTTTCAGTTATTTTCAAGCCACACGTCTGTGCAGGCCCTTAACTGACACAGCCTAATTGTGATGCTTGAAAAGAAAATACTGGTAGTATAAATTTTCTTGCACTGCTTTTGTTGGCATATTCATTAGAATTTTCTTCAGATGGAGTCAGTCATATTGCTGTCTAATTCTGCAAAAAGCAATAATAAGCAAGCAGGTATGTTAGAGCAAATAGGAAATTCTTAGTCTAGTTTTTGTTATTTCTGTCATTCCATGCCCATTCTTCAGAAATCCTGTTGGAATGAATGCATGAATTGCTAGAAATATGTCTCAGCTGACTGAGAATAAATACTTAAATTCTTCATATCTGAATTGCAGTACTTAACGTTTCTGCTTTAGTGCTAGGCTGTCGCCATCTAAATGATGAAGAGTTCTTAATCCTGCACCTTTTCAGACAATCTAGATTGGGCATCACATTTCTTGTTAATGGCTCACATAGACCTCAAGCGTGCAGCAAGAGAAAGCCAAAATCTGTAATGAGAACCATTCATGCCATCCTGCCTGTCAAATCATTCAGGCACTGCCCTAGGTTTAGCACTCTAACTGTGCATGCCCATGGCTTAGTTGCC